CGGAAAAAAAATACAGTTATCGGTTGGATTTTTATAAAATATGTGGCGGTGGCGGCGCAGGAGTGCATATAGCAGGAGGACTGAATAAATCGGTCTCTGTCACCGCGGCGGCTGTGTGTACAGGTATTACCTATATTATATAGGTATAATAGTGTAATATTCAAATATAATATATTACACACACATGCACACGCGATCGCGGATGACCGAAACAACTTTCTAATTAGACTTGTGCAATGACATTTGGGAAGAACGAGCGCGCGAGCCTGCGTCTCGATGGTGAAAACCAGACGTATAAAATGGGTACATTAATTTTGGCGTTTTTGACAAGTTTAAGCTGGTGCTGCGGCGAGGCGAGTTTTCTGATTTTTTTTTCTTTTCATTTTGCTCGTTTTTTTTTCACTTACCTATATATTTCGTTTTATGTGTGTGTGTTCTTCAGCTTATGGCTAAAACCTGTTTTTTCTTATATATTATATTGTCGTCGTCGGTCGCGCGCGCTCGATCGCTCACCACCGCCGCCGCAAAGATAGACGATCCGACACGCAAGTCCCGCGTGTAACATTACGACGTACCGCGATATCAAATGTCCAGATCCGGTTCTGAGCATGTGTATATGTGTATAATGAATATAATATGTGTATATTATTATGTGTGTATATGTGTCGCAGTGCGTATTTATATATTATTATACGCGTGCAGTTCGCCGCCGTATGCCTTTTAGAGGAGAGGTCTTTCACACCGTTTGAACTCGATTTTTTTATTTTAAACACGCGTACGTACACGCTTTAATTTCGCGCTCATTACACTATCAATGGAATAAATCGTTACACGGACGCGTCGTCGCGGAGACAATCATATAATATTATATAATATGCACTCGCGTTGAACCTATGTTATAATATAATATCGTATAGCAGTGTGCAGCGTATATATTATTTTATAATATGTGTATAATATGTGTATAATATTATATATCATATAATATAATATAATATGTACCTACCTATGTACAACACACTAATGACCCGATGTCGGGTCGTGTGACGAACGTAGTACAAACGTAGTGGTGGTGGTGTTTGGTTGTAAATTGACACGTACCGAAAAAACAGCAGTGGCGTTGAGTGAACGAGTGAGTGATGCCGTGACGAGTTCATTATGACAAGCTCAATGAAGTGATGGGAAATCGGGTATTCGGAAAGGGTGCCGGAACAAACGCACTTGGACGCCGCCGCCGCCACCGTCGGCTGCCGTTCGTCTCCCTAATTTTTTTTTTATCATATTATTTATTATTAAAATAAACTAACTAGAAGAATCCGTTGGTGCGTAATGTTTTCCAAAGGGGTTGCCGCCGCCGCTCACCCTTATACCATATATCGGTGGTATACACACACACACACGCATATATATAGTACTGTTATATAGTATTATTGTGTAAGAATACGGCTAAAAAGGGGTTGTCGTGCGTGTTGTAAAACGAAACCGATCCCAACACCTGTCCGATGCAGTGTATATATGCAGTCGCAATCCTATTTATTTATATATATGTATATAACAATTTTGTGTGTAGTGTACGTATTTATTTCGATGCAACAGTTTCCTGCGATGACCTTGTCGAAAACCGATAAATGGTTAATACGCCGCTTCCTCGTCTATTATATACATCGTATTAGCTTAAATTATAATATATAGATGTTATACTATATTACACGTATTATACGCATTTATATTGGACCAAAAAATCGGAACCCACAGCCCGCACAGTGCAATTACCATATGGCGTCGTTGTTATTACTGTGAATACCGTGTGAAGCCATAATAATAAACGAAAAATATATTACCACGTTGCAAACCTACGCCGTAATAATATTATAATATCGTCATATGTACGAGCTTAGCCAAGAAATGTGTGTGTGGTTCTCGATATGAGTGTAATATTTTTGTTATTTTTCTTTTCCTCGTTCCGAGGTTGTGCCGCGGGTACTGCTCAAACACCGTTCTGTTTGGACGGAAACTATTTTTTACACAATTTCTACACATTTCATCGCATTAATATACATACATCTGCAGTAGTAATTAAAACGAAATCGACTTGTTATCTAGTTGCTCCACGCGCACGCTGTGACCGAGAAACCATCGTGACAATGAGTACCTACTTATATCAGATTTTGGCAAAACTTTATACCACATATGTATATTATATTATTATATAAATGATATCGATAGATACTATTTTGGTAACATATATACATAAATATATATATATTATGTAAATAGCTACTGCAACTGCATGTTATTAAAATCTTGGTAAATAGCTTCGGGACGGAGATTGGATTATTATTATAATTATTATTACGGCGGCGTTATTGCTTTTTAAAAAACCATTAAGTGCCCGGTAGTCGCGTTGATCGATTAACTAGAATGATAATTAAAATATATACGCGTATAATATCGTAATAATATGGGTATAATGTATAGAAGTAGCTGCTACTTTATATGGATGGGAACAAAAAATTATACGTCTTAAGTATTAAGTGTTCTAGTTGTTGTGTACCTATATATCTATATATATTATTATACGTGCTCACGACCGTCCACATTGTTACTGTGTGGTGTGATCAAATATTTTAATATTAATAGTAATTCGGTATATTATTATGGGAGTGGGATCGACGGGGGGTTCGGACGGATCTATCTGGTCGACCGATCGATCGAAGAGGCTGCGTCGCAGCTATTAGCTGCACGTCAATCAAAACGGGACGCATAATAATATTATTGGTATAGATCGGATGCGTACAACAGCAGTGATATATTAGGTATAAAACGTCTCTCGTCCGGAAAACGATGTCCATCACATTTTATTATATTATTATAATTGTTTCTCGCGGAAAACTCGTCCGCCTGCGCCGTATCTAATTATTAATCACCTCGTTGAGTGGTAGATGCGTATATTATTATTATATTATTATGATGATGGGTTGTGTACTTGTGTGTGTGTGTGTATAACCGTCGATGTGAGTGGTTAACGATAAGTGTTTCACGAGTTTCGTCCGAGAAAAACGATGCGTTTAAAAACGCATTACACGTCGTCGACGGTACTTATATATCGCGTACACTTGTAATAATCATATCGTCATGACTCGTGATGTAGATGTATGATATAATATATATATAAAATTATGCGCGTTTAACAGACCGCTTTGGCTGTAAAAATAATAATAATAATAATCGTGCCCGGTGGAGATCCTATAATAATATAATGTTATAATATCGTAGTAATATAATAATAATAATAATAATACGGACAATTGAAAAAATTAATTCGTCTCGCTATGGACGGACATTAAAACGCGATTATGTATTCGATGACCTCTGTCCGCGGGTCAACCGTTTATTAGCGCTGCTATATTTTATCATGTTTTTCGATAATTCACCAATCCTTTGGCGGGGCTATGAATCTATTGTAGAGCAGGAGGTGCGCTCACGAGACGGAACGGCGCGGCATTTTTTTACGGATGAGAAGAAAACATTATTAATATCTCGCGGGCGTCGTTGAGATCGCTGAATTGAAATCTTCGCCGCGTAAATCATATTATAATTGGCCACCGTTCGGAGGAGGAGCCGGCAACGGCAGCAACAACAGTTCGGTGGTTGTATATTATGTAGGTACCTATACTAGGTATATTATATATAGGTGTTATAGAGTATACCCGAACATCTCGCGTGTGGGAATATGTTTTATTACAACGGATTTATACTATCAAGATTAATTAAAAAATGCCTTACAGTTATATATTTAAATGAACGTATCGTAACAATGGCCCTGCTGTTAACATATATTACTCGCTGTATACTCGTATAATGTTATATTATATATGTACTATTATTATTATTAATATTATGTATCCCTTAACAATGCGCTAAAAAATTCTTATCTCGTAAACCGGTTTGTGCGCATAATTTCTCGGGAGACGTCGCGATATTGGGTGCGTGTACAGGTAGGAGCAGCCCGTAGTTAGGTAATAATAATAGTAATATATATGTACTAGAATGGCGGATAGAGCCCTGCGTGCACAGAAGGGATCTCGCGCCGGTCCGCGTGTGTCGTCGTCATCGTCGTCTTTCTCTTCATCTCTGCCGCCGACACTGTTACCGCTCGTTCGCCCTCTCCTCAAGCTCGTTTAACACATAATAATAATATTATATTACTATCCGTGGCCGTGCGTATTTCAATGTTCAAACCGTAAAATCTTAAAATTGGATGTGACAACGTGATCAAAAAATATACCGGTATTGTGTAGCGTCGTGATTGTATAACAAAATATTATGATTTAGTATATTTTGCGAGAGTTTTACGGTTCCGGGTCTCCCCGTATACAATATTATTATATTGCGGAGTGTGGTCGTCCGGGCTTTCTAATTTCTAGTGACGTCGGAATTAAAAAAAAAAAACATGTTTTTGACCTGGTACTTATACGAGTGCCCGGAATCCGACGCGACGCAACACAACGTCCACTAGGACGATTTATCGTTTTATTATAATGTTCGTATATTTTTTATCGATCGCGTGCATATATTATTATTTATTAACTCTAAGCGACGGAATAATAATTTGCGTTAATACGAATAACCGCCATGTCACGTCTTCGTATAATATAATAATATACTTTATGATGTTTATAGTGGCCGATGATTTTATTTAATTTTGTTCCTCGTCATAATTAGCGACCCAGACGTTATTTTTATTTTATTTTTGGTTATTTATGTTCCATGCGTCGATTAAATTTGCATAATACAACGACTGAACAACGAGACGAGATCATAGTTTTACGAGCTGCATGTTTTTTTTTCTTCTTTCGGTTTAATGGCTTTACGCAATCTGCGATTTAATGGAAAACTAACGAAATAATTTTGAAAATAAAAACCTTACTTTATTGAACAGTAATAATAATATATTGTTATATGACGTTTTTTTAAATAATTTGTTTGTCTCTTCGCAGAACGACATCTTCGCCGAATGGTTCGCTGTTACCATCGCAGTTGAAACCGTCCAACGGACTTATCGGTACGGGTCCAGGAGGACTAGAAATTGGCACCGGACACTTGGGCGATTTGCAGGGACTTTTCTTGCACCAGCAACCGCTTAAGCGGGAGCCCGAGGACCTGAGCCATCACCGCGGTGGCGGACCACCAAACAAGGGCAACAACAATGCGGACGGTCTGAAAACGATCGGAGGACGTCCAAAAGTGGTGTTGGTCGCGCCCGGTAACAACGGTAATCAGCAGGACCAACAGCAACAGCAACTGGTCGTGGACGTCGTAAACAACAATAACAATCAACAAGCGAACAATAACAACACTGTGGGCGGCGTGAAAGAAGAGTACGGCGGTGGACACCATTCACCGCAGCACAACAGTCGGTCGATAAACGGCACGCCGTCGTCCACGTCATCCCTCATCACTGAGATGAACCCGCCGCCGCCGGCCATAGAGTTAATAGCCACGCCGGATGGCCTGAAGCCCATGTACGGCACGCACATATTCACCACCATGACCGGACAGCACGCCGACAGTGGTACTCCGTCCCCCAACTCGTACGAGCACCAGCAGTACACCACGTCGTCTGTGCTGTCTGGCGGCGGTGGTGCCGGCAACCCAGGTGGCTACATCACCACGTCTGGTGGCCGGACCCCGTTCGCTGACCCATACACTTACCGCGAGTACTTTGGTGGCGCCGGCGGAGGCCCTGAACCGGGCCCGTACGGCTCGCAGATCGGCGCTGGTGGCGGTGGCCGGCAGACCGCGTCCTCCTACGGCGGCGATGCCTCCGACCCTGGTGCAGTGTCCAACGCCGCTGCCACCGCGTCGTTTGTTGAACGGTACGTCCGACAAAGCTCGTACCACAACAAAGGCGTCATCGCAGCAGCCGGGCTCACCGTCGACCTGCCGTCGCCCGACAGCGGCATCGGCGCAGACGCCATCACACCACGTGACCAAAACGCCATACAACAGGTATGTTATTATATTATATAATACTTGTGACAGTCATTATTATATTGGTATAGATTCTTAGAGTATTGAAACAATTCTTATCAAAAGCAATCCTTCTTCCAAAAATAATTTTCTATTTCATAATAATCATCTCGATTGTCGGTAAAAACATTAACTGCTTACTTTGAACATTTTTAGTTTTGCCATCATTAACTTGACGGGTAAACAACAACAACATAATAACATATTATTAACTTTTTTGTATTTTGGGCAGTCTTCTAATACCATAAGTATAATACATAAAGATTCGAGATTAAACATTTTCAAGTTTATTCCGGCAAGTGTTATTCTTTTACGATAATTTCATCAGCACTTTCTTTTGTTCTACCTGAAAGTACATCTACAAATTGTGTATATTTAATAAAGGAAAACAATTATATGAGGTAAAAAAATACCTATTGGCTATTTCTAGATACATATTCTTATAACCATTTGGTTTTAATTGGCTAGGCGCCTTGGCAGTGGCAATTGCATAATATTTGATTACTGTCAATTACACTCAAATATTATGCAGTAGGTACCTATTTAAACTGTATTCAAGCATTAGTGTAAAAGTATTGCTTACAATTTAATATTAGTATAGTTAGTTTTAGTTGGTTGGTAACGAAGCTATCCAGAGGTGTTGGATATTGTATAATATGTCCACCCCAGACGTTTTCCAAAGTCTCAAAATCATATTTTTAACAATAAAATACCTAATAATTATTTTAATTTGTGTTGTGCCTATATAGTCTTTCGATTACACCGAGATGTGCCAAACACCTAGCATGTTGGGCGAACACCAAGCACAGCGGACGCCCACCGGAGGACGGTCGAGACCGTGGCACGACTTTGGCAGGCAAAACGATGCGGACAAGATACAAATACCAAAAGTGTAAGAATACATTTTTTTTTTAAGGGAAACATTATTCGAAAGCCAGTTGACAAAAAACAAAAAAAAAATAAATAGTTATGATCGATGGAGTAGAGATACTTTCGCAACTTGTTTTCTGATGTTATTTTTTTTTCTTAATTATAATTTAACATACTTTCCGTGGCGATTCCGAGAGAGCGTTTGTCAACGTATATGTATACGAAAATATATACATATACGGTAATAAATTCAGACTTCGACATTTTCGTCTACATCGTTAAAATTTTCAAACCAGTTTCCCGTCCAGTAGATTTTTTTCTGTTTTAGATTTATTTATACGCTTTTAGTCTGCCCCCCGGTCCGCGTGTGCCAGATATCCGACGACCCACTTTGCACGCTAATTTTAATCAAACGCCTCCGGATGTGTCCAGTGTCCACCGTTGTTGGGAATTTAGTGTGTTTCTTTTTTTTTCAACCGAAAATATTTAGGCGTGGCTGGGAGACATATTTTATTGTAAACAGCCGCTCTTGGGCACTATATAAGTATGTTTGTTAATGTCATTATTAAAAGAATAATAAGGAACGCCCTAGAAACGTTAATTTTTTTTCTATAGGAAACCAATCACATTGAACAATTTTAACCGCCGTAGGTGTATGCGTGTGTATAGTATAATTTATACTACGTAGTACGTATACTGTACAAAAATGTGATATGAAAAATATTATAATATTATTGTTAATAAACCAACGTTAAAATTTGTAAAATAATCGTCGTATTTATGTATAGATTCTCCAACTATGGGTTCCGCTATTATTTGGAATCCCCGATCTCTACCAACCAGAGGCGTGAAGACGACCGGGTGACGTACATTAACAAAGGCCAGTTTTATGGCATTACCATGGAGTACATACCAGACCCGGATAAACCGTTGACCAGTCAAACAGTCAAGGTAAGGCGCTTTGGCAATTAAATATGTTGTTAGGGGTGATAATACCAAGACACAGATTGGGTTATAATATCTCACATAGGAAATAAAACTCTTAAAGTTTCGTATGTGATACTTTTGATTTCACTTATAAATTATAATATAGTATTATACATGCTTATAATTTATTAGTTCTCAGACCGCTAATAGAATTTTATCATAAATAATATAGCTAAGAATCTCGATAATAATTTAATTTACTATCAATAAAAGTAGTACAGCATTTTTCAGATCTCTCGGCTTGTTGTATAAAGATATTTTTTGCATAGATATTTGACAAAGATATTGGTTCGATAGTCGATAGTATTATAATTGCTTACAGTACATTGAATTATGTCATATCGCTATTGCCACCGCGTATGTTTCATTTATATATATATAATATATTTATAAATATGCCGTGTTGCAATGGATTTCATCGAAATAACATAAAAACGATCGTAAATTAAGCGCTGATATATTATACATCATATACCTAGGTACGTATTTAAAAAAAAGTATATTTATCCTGTCGATTTATCGGAACTATCTCGGCGCTTATCGGCGTAGACGCGAAAGTTTCGCTGAGCGTATATAATATTATCGAGCTAAGGCCGTTTGCGTTGATATCTGAGCCCGATATAATATACGTCGCATAAGTATACCTTTTTGTTGTAATTTTATACAAAATATGTGCCAACAAGCGTACATAGGGGAGCCTGCAGTCATCGATCACCGAAGAGAGCGAAAGCAAAAAAAACCTATTTATTATCTATATAATATAATTCCACTGCCGTTGCATAAAATATATTATAATAATATGTGTATAATTTATAGGCATATATAAACTGCATGTGTGTAAAAGTTCACATGCTCACATGTATAAAATGGTGGTGATAATAACTTAGGTATAATGGTCTCTAGCCTGGTGGGAAGGGGGTGGTGTTGTCGTTTGTTTTCTTTGAGGTGGTAAAGTTTGTATTTTGTTTTGAGAACATAGGTTACCAGTGGCGGTCGTGTTTGTGTTTTCTCAGTGATGGAGCAAAATCGTTGGAAAAAGCTGTCCGTCTATAAGACGCGTTTTTTGTTATTATCATCCTATACAGACGTTACACACATATTATCATATGTGTTTAACCGCTCCTAAGTCCTAACACGCACGCTGCAACACCACTATATATATATATATATGAGCGTAGACCGTGTGTGGATAATCATAATAATAATAGCGCCAATCGGCGGTCCATATTTATATTCATATAATATGTCGAGGCACTAAAGATAATATATAATAATATATTTATCTTCCGGCAACGGTCAATGGGTAAAATCTCGCCCAAGGTGATTATTAGACGTGTGTGTGTGTGTGTGTGTGTGTGTGTGTGCGAGTATGTTGTGTATATATATCTATATTCTATATATATGAGCTAAATGGTTGCAGGGTAGATTGTGTTGTTATGATTGGTATACATACAGGAGGAACTGTGGAAGAGGAGGAATACGAGGTAGGTACAACACACACACACACACACACACGGGACGGTGCAGCGGCGGGTCGATGACCAGTATCTGAAGAGCATGGTTTTGGGCACTTAACGTGTTATTATATTATATACATATTCCATATACATAAATAGACGACTATATATATTTTTTCCGTTCGAAAGAAAGTAATTGGTCCGTCTTCTTGTAATAATCGCCTGCCGACCGAATGCACTGGCCTACCTACGCTCTTGTCTCCTATATATAATATATATCTAGTCGAGATTTTCATCTATATATGAGCATTCAGTCTTGTTTTTTTTACTTCACTCACTGCACACTTCTGACGTCTCGACGGCCGGCCGTGTGCTGACTTCTACTGCCCTACCCCCGCCAACCTCCTCGAGCCGCATTTCCATTTAAAATTACGACTTAATAGCGGTATAGCCTATACTTAAGACGTAATCGCACTCGTTACAATCGGTGTGTGCGTGTGTGTGTTTGTGTTCGAAAAAATATATATTATAATATTTATTAATTCCGTTGGTTGCGACGTGTTTACGCATTTGCGAGCACACACACTTACAATATATACTATATATAATGGACCCCTCCATTATGTATATGACGTATAAATTTGCATACTGCAGTGGAAAACGCGATTTCTGCGGTCATCGCTTGACTGTGAATTCATCACTGAAGAGCCTGGCTCTCCGTATATTACGTATACATATATATATGACGATAACGCCTGTGCCCACTCGCGGAAATAATTATGGTTTGGCCGCGTGATCAAGTATAATAAATTATCGTTTATTTCTTTCCACCGAATTATAATATATTGTGTCTTATGACTACCGTGGAAGAATTTTTTTTATTAATTTCGTGACCTCTAAAGCTCTCCTTTTGTAATGCACTCGATTCAATCCAAAAACACTATAGTTTCCTCTATGCACCCAATACATGTATCCCAAGTATAAAGTATAGTGGGAATGGCTCGTGTTCACTGCGATATACATAAATCATCCTCTCCTCACCCCACCATCTACAATAGTTAAATAATAATACTATATTTTAATGTAATGGATATCCACATGTAGTCATTTCCGATATAAGTCGATTGCTTTTAAATCTTGTATGCATATAAATATAGTCTCGCTGAAGTCCATATAATTATATATACCTACCTGGGGGGAGCGTCTGTGTTGCGCTACATTATAATGTCTGATTCGGTAAGTTTGACTGTACACGTGTATGTATATTGTATGTGTACACTGTACAAGTACGCGTGCTGTATGTATATGTCCAACTGATAAAGTAGATACCTACTTATTATACCTATATATAAATACCTATTCCCCGTAGGTAGCGGCGATTGTATGCCGCAGAAGTCAACTGACGGCCCAATGATTTATAGTATTTGTCCGAGGAATAAAATATAAAAACGCACAATCCGCCGCCATATATCGGACATATATACATACCTATATGTAATGCGCTGTGTATGTATAAAATGGTAATACGAGTATAATAGTCTCGGACAGATTGGTAATAACTCTGGAAACCGCTGCGACAGTCGGCGATTCAATAATTCATAAGTTCCACTACCGGCCGTGGTATGGTGGTATGTCCCCCGCTCAGATATACATATGTATAGGTATCTGGTATATATACGGCAGAAACGTGCAGACCGCCACTGTCCGGATTGAATATTAAGGGGGTGGGGATGATTAAACACTGGGTGTTGGTGGTGCACTTTTTATTTTTTGCAGGCTTTGCACACCGCGGGGGCGGGTAAATCAGACGACTCATGTATGTTGCGTCTATAGTGATATAATATAACTGAGAAACACGATGCAACTTAAGTGGACCGCATATGAATTTTCGACTCCTACGCGCGCTTGGTGGTGCAGCAGTTTCGCACCTGTGTATAGTCAGCTGCGACGAGTATACTAACCTAACTATAGTTTGTGCTTTATCTAAAATATTCGATTCCGCACGGTCGAGTAATGTATTATTATTTATTATTATAATATACACTCTTACCGCAGTACAACATAATGTGCATCGTATATAGGTACACACTATATGCAGACATAAAAGCAATAAGGAATATATTTTGAGAAAAAAATACTCATAAAAAAACACATTGAAAAACACAGTACCTACATATAATATACTGAAATGAAATATATTCTTCGGTGAAGGAAGATAAAGGGTAAATATAGGAGGCAATAACGAAAACGAAACTTGACGGGCGTTAAAATCTCCACTCCGTTACCATACACTTATAATATAGGCACAACCACACATCAACGATTTCGCTCTTTATACACACACATCCACACATATACACACACATGAAGACGACTCTAAAAGGAAATTCTTGTTTTGTGAGATTAGGCGACGGCGTTGAATTTATAATGTTTTTTTTTTCTTTACACACACACACACACACACACACATATATATATATTATTACTTTTTTTTTATGCGTTTATAACATTGGATGAACATATCGTATTCTTAGGGTCAATTGTCAACTCACGGCTATATTGGATTTCATGATGCCTTCTACACTCACACACAAACGGATAATGTATTATGCGCGCACTGCAGTTCTCACGGGACACCTGTCTTACGAATTTATCTTTTATTTTTCCGCTGGATCGTCGTTGCAGCAGCGGATTCCGATGGAAATTATCTCTTTTTCGTATCTGTCAGATCGGTGTCGCGCACATAATATATGCATATTCCAAAGCGGCGGCGTCGTTCGTAACACATTTCATATTTTTTTCTTACCATTCTACTACGGTTATACCCTATAAATTATATATACGCCGCAATACCATGCATGCGTACTTATAGGTATTTGTATGTAAAGGCGATCGAATAAGAAATAATAATTTGAATATTCCTTGTACTTATACCTTTTTATTGCCCCGAAGCTTACATACAGAAGCTATTATACGAAAATTACATTTTTATCGTGTGAAATTTGAGGTTTTGTCCTCTCGGGTTTTTTTTATGAAATATGCGTGTACCTATATAATAAGCGTCGTAATCGTTGTATACATTATTTTTCCAAGTAGATAATTACTTTTGTTCTTTTCAAGACAATTTTCAATCTTAGTTTAGACATGACTTTTTTTATACATAATATATTACGTCAGCCGTCAAGTTGATCGGTCGACATTTTTGATTCGATAATGTAATATTACCGAGTGGGTAAGAAGTTATAATTGGGGGAAAATATAATAATAAATAATAATAATCCACGTACTCGTCGGACATTTTAAGTCTCTCTCTGCTCTCTTTCGATGTAGGTATATATAAATACTTGGCAGGTGGTGGACGATGTTATATATACTGTTGATTATTATTGTTGTTGTAATTGTATGTGCAGCGTGCACACAGCGGGCTAAAAGCACACTCGCAACTCACTTCTCGCTACAGAGTGAAACACACAAATATAAAATAAAATAAAAATTATAACTTGTACGGAGCACAAGACGTTGTTAGAACCTAACCCACGTTTCCTCAAGGCCATGATTGTAAAAATAACACACGTATACCGAATCTCATTACTGATTGTTATTACCCATAGATTGCTCCGTTCAATTAATTCGAACGATTTTATTTTACTCATTCGTTTTTTATACGTATTTTTTTTATATACACACACATAATGCCCGTGCGTTTTTATTGCTTTTCCATGGAAACTATATATACGAAAAAAACTACCAGCTTCTAAAATGGTCCGGAGATTAAAAATTAATAGCGCGTCTTGTGGCCAACAGAACACGCATGTGTTTTTCTTGGTATAATACTACCGGCCATGTAGTCATTTAATTTCATCGGGAATCCGAAGGTAATAACAGTAAATTATATCAAAACATGCGAACGTCCGATATTATGTGTAGTCGAGTTACTTATATTTTGTTGGTTTTTTTCACTCAAACGTTTATACATGTATATATATAATATATATATATATAAAAAAGACCAGGAGATAAACCATTATAATATGTTATGCATTACTAAAATACGATAATAGTTCGTATATAATACATTATAATTATATTAGTCACATATTATATATTTTTATTATGTACCTATATTGTATTATGACTCATTGGAGCGATCTAGTGTTACCGCTCTCGTAAAATGAGTCACATTTGTCTGACGAATTTTTTATTTTGTATTTGCAGAGCGTGGTCATGCTGATGTTTAGAGAGGAGAAAAGTCCAGATGACGAAATCAAAGCGTGGCAATTTTGGCACGGCAGACAGCACAGCGTCAAACAACGAATACTCGACGCCGGTAAGTCGCATAATAGATATTATATAGTAATTTTTTAATTTCCGAGACGAATATATAAATATATATAGGTAAATCGACTCGGCAGATCGACTCCTCGTGCTCGGTTAAACAGAAAAAAAACTCCAAAAATGTCAAGTTCCTTAATTTTTTTTTTCATAAGTTTTGTTTCGATCCCCCTTTCGAAGTACTCTGATACGTTGAAATCCTACACCGCCGACGTAAACGTTAATACTTTAATGGAAAGACGCGCGTTGCTGAGAAATCAACGGACCGTGTACCGCAATCCGCGTTCTCGTGTTACAATTCGTGCGACGTCGGTTGACAAGTTTCTCCAGCCACTCGTGGCTGAGACGGAGAGAGAGACGGAGACGAAAAAAGACGGACAGCGTCGAGACTATAATAATATTATTATATGTATCCGTTTCCCATTACATGTCGTTTCTCGACCATATACGTACATATATAGTATTCTACATGTATATAGCACATCTATATTATGTACACATATAATACATAATATTCAGTATGTATATATACAGGTAGTTAATATAACAATTGTCATTTATTTATCACCATAGCGGTATAAATATTAAAATAATTATTAACGTACCTATATATAATATAGTCGAGTACCTATACCGCTCGTCGTTGCGGGTATAAGACGGTTTTCTATATTTTTAATCCACGGGATACGAGCGGGCCATTTCGTGTGCATGTAGAGGTAGGTACGTGTAGAAAAACTAAGAGCGGTGGGAGTGATGGCCGGTGAGGATAACGTGTGGGCACATACGTATTATATGTATATCTTATATTATACACACCTATACTTGAGATTATAATATACTTCGACGAACACGATTCATTACTTTGCGCGTGCGTGCGTGTGTGATGCTGTCTTGTACGTGCATATGATTAGTGCCTGTATGACACGGTGGCGTATAGTGGTATAGTGTAAGCACCGCCGGGTGTATGTGTGTGTGTGTGTGTGTGTGTGTGTGTGTGTGTGTAATATTAACCCCCTCCACATTTTCCTAGTGCGTTTAAGCAGCCGAGACGTAGTATGGTACGTACGTACACGTTGCCTCCGATGTTTTTGACGTTAAAGAAGTTTTTTTTCTCTTCAAATCGTATACAATATTATAAATAAATCGTCATCATATACGTTATTTATCGTATGTATAAAACGACGCCGCCCGGCGATTATAGCCCGAACGAATAATAAAATGACGATTCCATTTAACGCGCGGTCGTACGTTATTTTTTCGCGCGATCAGGGTCTCTCGCTATGCGCATTTACCTATATACGATATAATAATAATATAATGGGACATTTCGAATGATATACGTCTATATCGCAATTGCCAAGGATTTCAAACCTGTTATCGACTACCTATTTATATTATATGTGTACCTATATGTTTATTATTTTAAATTTATATACCTACTATATATATATAGGTATTTGCGCATTTTTTAGTTCAATGATTTTTTTTTTCGTTTCCGTCGACCCATTACACACCGCCGCCATTTAATATAATATCCACATGCACATACACTTTAGCGTCTTTGACTCTATATACACGCATTATAGTTCAGTAATGCGAACCCCGCATAAAAATTTACATTCGTTAAAATCTAATAAATTATAATATAGTAAGACCTATCCGATACACAGCTCGAACTTTGGACCGTAATGGCATATATTACTAACCCGGCTTAATAAATATAGTATAATATGAATACTACATTTTCCTATAATATCACATGTTTATATCATCGCGTATGTATAAAAGATTTCTATTTGAAATCGTCGGTTGAATGATGCAACGATATGTGTCACGTGTGTATATTATATTATTATGTAGGTACTATAGGTACCTAGGTATATATGTACTAGGTATATGTTTATATAGTGTCTGTGGTTCAACTCCCTTTATTTGTACAACTTGTATTTTTAAAAACACTACTGTATTGACCTTTTAAGCCTTATATTAATTGTTCGTTCCCTTAAAAGAGTCTCCGTTTATATGTCCCTCTGCTCTTATACGGCGGACGGAGTAGAGCTGCGCATACAAAAATGCGACTTCCCTATTCCGTTTCCGTCGGCGCAGCCGGAGAAAAAAATCGTTTCCATCCGTATTTGTCACACACAGAATCCAAAAATGGTCACACATTGCCGCGTTGTGTACGTGAACTGCAATCCGTCGGTGGATTACGCGCAATCGGAATGTCGTTTTACACACATATACACTATAGGATTTTACTTGAAAAAAAAAAAAAAAAATGTGAAAAAAAATCAGATAAATTAATTCCGACGACTGCGTGCCATCTCTCTCGCGAGCGATATCTATGCAGCTAGGTACCATTGTAGTCGTTTTTATCGATCCGTAGATTATCCAATTATTATAATATTATAATATATTATAATAAACATGCACATAGAACACTTTTTCGTATAAAATTATCTCGTCGCTCCCATAATACCGTCAGAATTCAATATGTATAGTTAATTAAGATGGAAGAGTGGAGGGACGTCGTTATATAATACATACAGAATCTGAAGTCTAAATCTCCTTATACCTATATAGATATATTACATATACAAGTCAGCCGTGTTTTAATTACATCACTTTTTTCCTCGTACATATTATACCTATATTTATATATTATTATCTTAATGTGATATTTTTTCCATCTCTGTTCCCGCAACGACCAATAATTATTATTCTAATGGATTCTGATGTCAAACACTGCAGCGTATAGTTGGGTCTGCGTGTAGTCGAGCTTAAAAACACACGAAAATATATTACCTCCGTTCTGAGGTCAACATCGATCGGTGAACCTTATATATAATAATTTATATAAACGAAAAAAATATAATATATATAAATGTATCCCGCGATGTGAAATACGACCGACGAAAATAAATTAAATAACACCGACGAAGAAGCATTTCCCTAATTGACGTTATCGGTTTGCTATCTTCAATTTGGTTTTATTTTTTTTTGAAAACTCGTCACGATGTATTTTTCGTAAGTAAAAAAAAATCGCGTGCGCACTCTAAAATTTACATTGTTCTCTTTGGATGATATTTATAGTTTTTGTCCACGACACTTACGGAAACTGAAAAACAAAAACCCAACAACAATGGCCTACTGTGTTTTCGAGATCGTAAATTTTTTCATCCTCCTGTATCACGTGAGCGTGTACGAATGTCCCATTGTTTCACGTTTTTCTTCGGATTGTTGTTCTCGTTTATTTTATTTTTATTATTTATTTATTATTTTTTTTTTCCACACACATGTTTTTAGTTATAGTTTATTGTATTTTCAAAATTCACCACGGCCGCGTTTTGTCAGATAATGTACCTATTTATTATATTATTTTGTAGTATGATATTCGACAACCCCACGCGTATGAGCCGGACCCGTCATCCTGATATCGTATATCTAAAATTATACATACCTATAACCTATTTGGCTATATATATATTATTATTTTATAAATATATTTGTATATTCAATAAAAACTCTGGTCAGGAGGACGTATTTCTGTAAGATATCAGTTTTATAATGAAACGCGTAACGTCGTAACTCGTAATTAACCGGCATAAATTCGCACGGTCCCGAAAAAAAAAGGTGGGGTAGATAATATGTATGCGTGTAATCATAATCATCAGAACTCCATTATTTATAGTAATAGCGCGTTTAAACTGGTTATTATATACAGCCGCGATCTGTTCGGGTCTATATTAAACCATACCAAGATAACCCTTAGGTTGTGCGGAGGCTGCACTAATATTTCAATGCGTTGGGTGTAAGAAAATGTAATTTTTGACATGGGGGAGGGGGTACCACTGTTTTGCTTCGAGGAAATCGTGAGCATTGGACTCTCTCTAGTAGCCTGTAATTATTATTATTATTTTTTTTATTTTCATTTTAGACACACGCGTACACTGACCCAAATCGTATACAAATAAGGATTAGTTCGATCCAGTATTAATAATAATGCGGGCGCGTACGATGAGGAACTGATGGTTGCAGTCGGAGGAGAAAGAGACGAGGGGGCTATAGCGTTTAAAAAGATTTACATTTTGTGTGTATTATATACCCACTGCACGTGTATACTTTTTTTTGGTTTTACTAATTTATGTAAATTCGCCCTTCACAAATATAATATGTCTATCGTAGTAAAAAATTAAGTCGCGTGTGTCTAGAACACTCGCATATAGTGTGCTCGCGTGTGTCTATATACTCTAAAATGCCATTACGAAATAATATACACGACATTGCTTTTAGACGATATCTGACAAATTTGCAAAAAAAAAAACACACGAAAAAACCCATATAATACATAAAACAAAAACTACACGTCTTGTCGTCTTGTACAGTATAATAATAATATATACAAATACGTGCTGTATAGACGGCCGGATTCTGTTTCGAGACATCTGTCAGATATATAATATGCAAATCCACCGATAGAGGCAAGTCTAACGTGTCGTTTCTCATTAGGTATTATAATTGGATATCGGCCAGCCCGGGTGAGCGCATCGTCGTCCATATAGTGAATCTCATTTGTTTTCCGTCGCCGTCGTACATAGCACAAAATAATATTATATATTCGTTTATTACTATTATACTGATATTATGTTCATCGAAGTGTATCTCTCTCTGTTTGTTTGCGCTCTTTCCCGAAATCGTTCGACGACCGCGTGTGTTAATCGAACAACACATTTAATAATATAGCGTATATTTTGTAATGCCTATAGCTGATACATAATAAAACCTTCTACTATAAAAGGTTACGTCTTCACTAGGTCGGTTATGCGTATTTGTTGATTTTCGTCGTATATACTTACTAACCTGCCTATAACTTAAAATATTATTACATGCACTCGGAGGGGGGTGGGTGATGGGTGTCGGGAAAATAATCGATTTCCGGTTAGTCGGCGTTCTTGTGATGCATAAATACTGCACATCGTCGCTGTCCTCAAAGCGTGGGCGGGTGTCTACAGGTGTGTAATAATATATATATATAATTACACGCGTGTCGGCGGGACCGGAAAAACCTGATAACGAACGCTGCACTGACCCATTTGTTTTTTAACCGCGTACACTGGTGCAGTGTACACCAATGCAGGCGTACGGAGCAAAGGCCACTGGCTATATATAATATACAATCAGGTTCCTCTTCCTCTACACACACACATAATATATATATATTTACTCGCTTAAGTAGATGCTACTCGTCGTCGTAGCGTATAATATATATATATATATTATATAGATACCATATAAATAGTCGGTAGTAGCGTCGGGACCTGTTATTGAAATCAAGTTATATTATATCTTTGACGTATAGCTAGTTACTATTGTAGTACTGCTATTATTATTATACGAGCGCCACTTCATTCATAAAAATCGAAACCGCCTCCGACGATGTTGTGCCGTGCCACGGTGCGATATCCAATCCAGTTCTCCGTGCAACATCTCACCTCACAGCTTCAGCTGTATAGTAAAGATAATATAATATTATGTACCCAGAAGGTGTACCCGTTACACTAGTCTCACGCCGCCGCCGCATACTATATCAATTTTTATATATTTACCTAAGTATACAATTTTTTTTTTAATTATTCACTTCATGTGCATCGGCTGTAAAATTAATTTATAATCAATATTATTTGCCATGTGTGTGTTTAGGCTGTTGGTCAAAACTTGGAAGATTACTGTAATTTACCTGAGGAGTTTGCATCGTTAAGGATAAATTTAAATGACTTGGCGCGGTGCCAAAAAGAAACGAAAAAAAAAATGTTTAAAAAAATACGAAAAGCGAATTTTATTATATTGAATCAAATTCCACACTACGCTCTTGTTTTTAATTTATACAATCCGTCCGTTTATATATTTCTGTTAATTTTATTATTTTGTTTTTCGTTCCTATATTGCAATAATAAGTATAATGATGATTTTATTTATTTTTACAGACACGAAAAACAGTGCCGGTCTGGTGGGATGCATCGAAGAAGTATCACACAACGCCATCGCCATTTATTGGAACCCTCTGGAGAGTCCGGCAAAGGTAAGTTTCATGATATTGTTTTTGATACACACACGCGTACGAGACGCATACACAAGTATATCGTACATATATAGGAGACAATAATTAAAGAGTAACGAGAACAATTTTATCTGTTTTTTAACCTGTCGTCCGAATTCCTAACCGTCTACGCATTTAATGACCGGTATTTTTTTCTTCTAAGGAAATCGCGCCGCGTATTTATCTTTTAATAATGGTAATTAATATCTACATCACGTAGTAGCCGCGGAGAAGTGAAACGAAAAGAGATTATTTTATATTATATATATAATATAGTATATTGCTGAACTCCCGGCTTGTGCTAGTCTCAATATCTATGAGAGAGAAAAAAAAACAAATCGCCCGAGGGCCGTTTGTGTGTGTGCCAAACGAGGTTAAAAAACCCATTCGGAGATGCCACACGGCGAGCGATTTTGAAATCGAAATTTACACACAATAATCCGGATTACCCGCGGCTTCCAGGTCCAATCAAATATAATCACACGGTGTATTATAAATTATAATATATGCACAAGTTTTTTTTTTATTAAATATAAATAATATAATTTTTTTTCTTTCTATTTCAGATCAACGTCGCCGTGCAATGTCTGAGTACGGATTTCAGCAGCCAAAAAGGCGTAAAGGTGAGTTTCTGTATATTTTATTACTCAACGCACGCGAGAGCGTTCCCCTTTTTCGAAACGATAATAAAATTAAACAAAAAATAAACTATTAAAAACGAACTCACGCTGTTTTCATCTCTCTACGTGGGCGGTGGGGAACGTCTTAATTGGAGTCTCGGTTTCTTTTTATGCTCGGTCCATTGGACCCCTTGGCCCGAACGAAGTACACTGGTTAAAAAATGCGATTACTATAGGTATATTTTATATTGTTATATTCTTAAATCCGTACCTACTTAAATAGATATCGCGTTTAACCAAGGCCAACTGTGGTTTTAAGAAAAATAATTAGCGTTTCATTAAACTGATCACCGTTTTAAATAATAAAACAAAATAAAATACCAAATAATATATTTATGGTATGATAGTGCTGCGGTGATGTAAATATAACTTACTATACAAGCACAAAATCGCATATGCTAATACAGAACTCGACAGGTAATCTTGAATAATAAATTAACAGTTACATACTATTATTATACAATTACACCTCAGATAAATAAGAGCAAAATAGAACAAACCGATGAAACCAATTTGCTTGGTACATATGTACACGCCATATTATTATAGGTTTATATTTATAAATAAAATATAATAAATATAAATGAATATAGTAATTATTATTTTCTCTCGCATAAACGCTCTGCTCACGGGATTTGCTTTTGCGTCTATCTCGATTTAATTATTGCACAGTCACTACTACCTTGGGCTAATTGGAACGGTATTCGATCTGTGTATCGCGAAAACAACTACACATTACTATTTAACGGAATATTCTTATAAATTGCAGGTAGGTAGGTAGATAGATACGTGTGCAATGTTCGCGTATATAATGGTGATTGACATGGGTTTTCGCAATTAATTAAATTATTATTGGCCAGCAATAAAATACATATGATAATATATATATTATAATATTATTATACCTACGATTTCGTATTTGTTTTCAGGGTTTGCCGCTGCACCTGCAAATCGACACCTACGAAGAACCGAGAGACGGACCTGTGTACCACAGGGGATATTGTCAAATCAAAGTTTTCTGTGATAAGGTAAGATTAATTAGATATTAAATTATGTTTTTTTCTTGAATCGTTTATTATCTATTGACGGGAGGCTGGTCGTTGTAGTGGGGCGGTTAGTCTAACGGGAGAGATATAAAAAAAATTAAGTAGGTATGCATAATTTTTGCACCGCCATTTCGAATAATGTAATTTATTAATACATATATATACGACTCGGATACGTACACCGGCACATGCTTTATGGTCGAACACGATGGCAATTATACGACACGTATATGTTTATGTTTACAAATACAAGCCGCATATTACAATAATATAAGAATACCTATATACATATGATGTATATTATAATAAGGTTATGGGTGTGTGTGTTTTTGTGTTTGTGTGTAATGTACTCGCATATATAGTGTGGATGGCATCACACGTAGAAAACTATGCGCCTTGTCTATTAAAACGGCACTGAAGAGGTCATTTATTTTTTCGTCCCCCAAAAACTCTTCGCTGGTATCTTACCGGTAGATCAGACATGGACGACGACGCAGCTGGAAGGTATACGTGTGTCTTTTTATACACGTATAATATATTTCTTAATTTTTTTTTTCCTAGTCGTATACATGTACAAATGGTCAGAGGCTTCTAATTTACTGCACGCATCTCCTCTACGTGTGTGTATAAATATATATGAACGCTGCAGTCGGACCACCGAAATTAACAACCTCCGTGTAACGTGTTCTTGTTTTCTAATATTTTGTCCGAAAAAAAAAACATACCATGTTCTTTCAATCTCGTCGGGACTCCTATATAGGCAAACATTGCTCGAACTCGTACGAGGAGTGCTGCCGAGCTGGCTGATAACACCGCCGCCCGCTCGGCCGTGTCGTGTCTTGATTCCATGTGAGTTGTGACCCCCGCAGACAGACAAAGGATGTATTTAAAACGCTATATAATATATTTATTCGATTCCCGCGGGGTATTAACGTTCGTATATAATGGAAAATAATAATAATAATAATAAAAAAAAAAAACTAAGAAATAAAAGACTGTGATTCGAGAGATTTCAAAGTCAGATTTGAAACAGTACCCCGAGACAACGCAAGTGTGTACGGTGTTTTTGTTTTTGAAGTTCAACGCGGTCATCGGAGAGGAGAAATAATCGTTTGGACAGCCCATTGTACAGTTCGCGCTCGCGTGTGTCCAAAGTATAATATAATAATATGTATAAATAAGATACCTACGAGTGATTGTCGCCAATGCTCGCCCGTGCCCGTACCAGTGAGAACTATATATCGACTGAAGAACTACCGCTGCAGCGTTTCTGCCGCACGATGCCAGCCATGAGCCAGCTGATAATATCACTACATTAAATATTTAAATATTATAATATTATGTCTTAAATAATTAAGTATACTATATTGTGCGTGTAAGTGAGATCGATCGCGCTTAGATTATTAGTTATTATGCGAGATTCTGTGCATCGATCCGTCGAAAATAATCTTTAGATTATTAACAACGAGCTATTAAACCGATATTGGGTTTTCCGATTCCACGTCCATTTATTATTATATTCGTGTAGATTAGAGATATAATGTTATTTTTTCGTCGGTTGCCTAATGAATTTTCTCAACATTTCGTAAGCGCGCCATAGGTTTTTTTTTATCGACCGACGCATTAGAATAAAATAATAAATAAAACTCTTACGGACTGCACATTATTCATCGAGATAGCATGTTATAAATAATAGGATTCTCCGGGGAGCATTAGCTCCAATAAAAGTCATTAAAATTTAGTTGTAAAGCCATAAAACTAACAGCGGACGCATGTCGAAAGTGTCGGCACTTCGGCAGCGGCGTCATACCAATTTTGGTTTGATTTTTTATGTGTATAATATATATTTATTATACATGTATAATATACAATACAGGCAAACAGCATCGATGTGCGTGCTTGCATGTGCCCAGTGCGTGTCCGATTGGAATTCGGTCTCAGATTTATCTTGGATCTTCCATAATAATACACTAATACTATAAGCTCTCGTATAGTTTTGCGTAATAATACCTATAATGTTAAAATGTCCGTGTGTTTTTCTCGTTGGTCGAATTTCAAGATTATTTGTCGATCACCGCAACACCAATGTACGATGTCATTAATAACGATTTAATAATATAATATAATATAGTATCAAAAGAGCCGATAGCAGCCTTGAATTCTATATTAAATTTATATGAGTGAGCCAGCTCGGCTGCTCAGCCATATAGCTTTTAATGAAACCTATATATTTATATATATATTATATATTAAGACGTCCCATATAGTTACGTAAAAGTGTGACGGTGCGCGAGAACGTAATATTTTTTTTAATTAGATCGGATTGGGAAAAATAAATAATAATGTCAGGACACCGTCGTCGTGCAATAGCCACGAGAATGGTCCATCCTTACTTTTAAGTTAGTGTCCATCGGTGATACGCGGCAATGATATTTTGAGGAGGCGATTTTTGAAGAGTTTTGTGTGGGTTGTCTTGGGGGGGGGGACTATAGAAACATATAGTTATTAGTAAATAATATTATTATAATATTATAATCGTAGGTACACGATGTATATGCGAGAACAGAAAGATAGAACGAAAAAAGCCGTTATCGGTCGTCGTATACGTGCATTGGTACCTATATTATAAGTGTATGTATGTATAATTTTTTTTTTTAATTACTACACGAAAAAAATATTATACCTACATACTCCCGTGTATAGACGTAACTAATAGTAGAGGTATACCTATTATACATATATAATATTATAATGTAGTGAAAACATAAATAGCATGTTATTTATCGATGTCGAAAAAAATAAAAATAAAATAAAGTTCAATTTATAATTGTGAGCTGCAGTTAAGAGACTGTGTTGTACGCAGCAACAGCCGTATAACCTGCGCGACTAATAAATTTGAACGCATGACAGGGTATAATATTTTCAAATCGCCTTCTTATGTACCTATACATATGCTATTATACATATTATGTACGTATATAATAATATACAATACGTTCTCGCTGCTTCAGTCGCCCGGGTACAAAGATACTTATAACATTTATATACCATATGCATACATTATACATATTATATTATATAGTTTTCACGCGCGCCCGTGTGTGTTTGTGTGTGTGTGTGTGTAGAGAAAACAAATCATAAATTATGATATTCATGTTACGCCATCAGAGTTTTCCTTGTGCGACAGTGTAAAAAAAAAAACTTTCCCGATTAATAAAATTATACTATGCATCCGTTTGTTAGAAGAAAAAAAACCGCATAAATTGAATGGTGAAAAAAATTCGTTTAATTACGGTTTTATTGATTTACTGGCGTACACCGGCCAGCCGACAGTTTATGATTTACTGACCGTGGAGAGAAAAAAAATAGTAGGTATATATTATTATATAATCGTTTAAATTACCCGGCGGTGTACTCGGAACGTGTAATCTTTTTTTATTTGAGGATTTATAACGCCTGGACCCGCCGAGGTTCCCAGAATATATAATAATAAATGCCATTATAACGCATTAATAATAATAAAAATTGTAGGTATATACATATATGGCGTGCGTGTACGATGTATAATATATATTATACTATGTGAAATTACCGGGTTCGCGACAAATTAATGACGGTACAAATTTCGGCGATTCCGAAATGTTACTGTCTAATATTATAATTGGACAATCCAACAAATCGTATATCACGTTATAAAATTTTATTATGTGCGTTTTTTTGTGCTTTCTTTTATTAACGACCGTTACCATTTGGTTTTTAGGGAGCCGAAAGGAAGACCAGAGACGAAGAGCGGAGGGCGGCCAAACGGAAAATGACTGCCACGGGTCGCAAGAAGATCGACGAACTCTATCATCCACCGTGCGAGCGATCCGAATTCTATTCAATGAGTGACCTCAACAAACCGCCAGTGCTGTTCTCACCCGCCGAGGACATCGACAAGGTGAATATTTTAAATACGTTATTTTTTTGTTATTTTGTCTACAACAAACCAAAGTTATAATTTTTCGCCTAATCCCCTTGAAATAATTAATTTCGGTTCAATTAACTTAACATAGATATGCTATATGATTTCGTGCAACCGTGTACTACGATGACTAACAGTGCTACAACAGCATGACGTTCTACACATACCTACACCTTTAAAACCATAGAATATGGTACTTCAAATTCTTTAAATATAATACTAACTATACGTTTCTGGTCGTTTCAGCTGACGTCGATGGAACTCCAGGGATTCTACGGACACGACACAGACACGTCCAGTCTGTCCAACGGTGAACCCGGTTCAATGAAGCATTCGTCGCCTTTCCTGTTGCACTCTGGCGTGGCCAACAAGCCAGCTGGTACGACGACCACGCAGACGCTCAAGTTCCACAATCACTTCCCACCGGATACGCACAAGTGAGCTTAACGACGAACATTACGATCAATACTTCCCAATTATTTGTATAACATATTAAAAATAAAAATAGCAATATATTATTAGAATCCCTAAGGTATGTGTATAATGTAAAATAGTGTACTAGTGTATAGAAATGGATGAAGTTGGTCAACTGAATAAACCGAGACTTCGTCCCAAGACACATGGTTTTTTTGGCGATCAAAGATATAATCGGCTCGTTTGTTATTGTACCAATAGGCAATATTTCTCTGTCGCTATACACTAAGACTAAGTCAGGGCTCGAGACGGAAAATATGATTTCGCTACGTCTGGGTTTCAAATTTCAAAAAGTGTAGTTCTTATTTTCATTTTTTTTCTATTAATAACATGTATATATTTTATACATTTTTTGATATTTTAATTAATTTATAAGAAAAATCAAAAGAACAAACCAATTTTTTTATTATTTGTTGTGATGCGTAAAAATGATTTAGTGCATATTTAATAAATAATTTTAAAGCTTCTTATATCTCATAAAGTTCCGAACCTTGGTACTATTTTATGATATCATACACATTTATAAAATATTACCTTATGATCAATTAAAACCTCCCCGTTTGCTGCAGAGGTACTTTATTTCCACCGTTTTTATTGTTTTTTTTTCATTTTTTATTTTAACTATATTATATAATATACTCCTGCGAATGTTTGGTTGCGTATTCATTTATATATATGAGACATGTTTTTTACACATCAGCGTGTCTTATTACAACAGCGAGAAGAAAGAAGTGCTGGACCAGAGTGGACTGACCACGGACGGTACGGTGTTCTCGAGTCCGCCCAACAAGCGAACAAAGCTACAGGTGCCGCCCATCAACGAGCGAGTGATGTTGTACGTGCGGCAGGACGCTGAGGACGTGTACACGCCCCTGCACGTCATACCGCCGACGACCCAGGGACTATTGAATGCTGTAAGCACAGACTTCATTTATTATTGAAGTACTTATTGACAAACAAGTATAAATTCTCTATTATTTTTTTTTTTTTTTATATATATATTTATATATTATACACTATACACGTGTATTATTATATAATCGTTTTAAATTTTAATTACATTTTTTAATCGAGAAAATATCTGTGCTGCTTTTGGATGATATTATTCTGTGCTCATCGCCACTCCTCCTTCCATAGTTTTCCCGTTGCCCGCCCGACCCCTTTCCGACATCCGACTTATTCCTCTCCAACGATGATGGCGTTGTAACGCTGTTATATTCCCGCTGCACCTGTTTTTGGTACAATATTCTCTCATCCAACGCAACTTATCACGATACGTTATCGTCTAACAAAACAATTTTCGCTTTCTTATACCTCTTATTTCACGATTTTTACTGTATAATATTATACTCATTTATCAATACTGCATCATGATGTTATTTTCCAAAACACCCCAGAAGCAGAGCGCCGACAATTATTATTTCCGTCCGATAAACATGATAAAAATAATCATAATACTATTTCTACAATTTATTATAGCAGAAAATTCCATTATTCTTTTCATGTAACACTGCCACACTGGACTCTGTATGTATTCATTGCGCTCAACGCACAGTTCACCATCTCCCACCAAGCAACTGCTAAACACATATTTTATCACTAAAAAACGATAACGATCCTATTTTCTTTTTTCTTATATTATATTCGTAAAGCTTTATTAAATTTATCATCTATCTATCTATATTTATTATATTATTATATAGGTACTTTATTTCTTACAAACCGAAAATGTAATCACGCTTTATTTTATTATTCGTTAAATTATTTTCGAAACATTGTATTCAAAAACACCTGTTTTCAATATATTAACCATCTAATTATTATTTTTTAATCACTATTTCACAAAACCATGGTGTGTTTTTAAAGCTGTAGGTGGTATTTATCGCTCGGAGTAGTCAAACATATTCGTTAAAACCACCACTTTTATAAACTATAGAGCTTAAAAATACACATTTTGTTCGCGATCATTTTTGTGCAAAATGTTTTGGTCAAAATCTCGCACCGGACTCTAAACACAATAACCATTACTTCTAGAGCATTAAAATAACCATAATGATAATATTATATTCTCATGATATATTGTCATATTGCTTGTTTTTTTTTAATGCAGCATGGCTTATTCTCGGATATTTTCACCTTCTCTCTGGTAAGTGGTACATCTTTTTATCTCTTAAGTATGTTCTTACCCGCTTTGCATGGCTACTAACATAATTTTCCAGTGATCCTTTTTCGTCCAAACCATCACGATTAGTTTTATATACTTTACAAATTTAAACTTTCAAATCAAAATATAACTTAAAATTGAACAATAAAAAAAAAATACTAGAGATGTTTGTCCGTTTTTACTTTTTACTTTTTTTTTTAACTTAGGAGTATATACATACTCCGTGTTAATTTTTATTTCCCATTATTTTTCCAGATTGAGGCTAAGTACAAAATTTCTGCTTCCAGCATTAGTAACATGTATCGAAAAAACAAAAAAGGGTAAGTGGAAACGTTTGATTTTTTTTTATAAGTTCTATTTAAATGCTTTTCCAATTTTTAAGATACTGGGTCAAAGTTGACAGACAAATTTTGCTTTCCTGAAAATACAATTTATAATTTAACAATTCATAACAACACCGCTTTAGCAACTAATTTACTTTTGAGTTCATAAACTTCTTGTTTACCTATATTATGTGATAATAACCAAATTTATAAATAATATACTGAAACATGGGTATGTGGACAGGGTTCCTCAGAGAAGAACCTATAGGTGAACCTTTAGATACTCAGTTTTTGAGATACCATGTTCGGACTTATGTTCAAGAAATTCCTCCAAGTTAATTGGCTAACTAATTAATATAAATTTCTGTGAATGCTCATATTATACAAGTATTCATCATATAATTGCTTTCAAATACCAAATTAAACACATATGTTATTATAACACCTAACTGATATTTGATACATATATTAAACCTAATATTAGTTTTAAAAACTTGATGATATTTCTTTGTTTTAATTATAATTTTTTTTATATAGGATTACGGCCAAAATTGATAATGATATGCTCAAATATTATTGTAATGAAGATTCATTTCTATTGGAAGTCAGACATGCCGAAGAAAATGAGAACATGCTTGATATTATACTGATTGAATTTATGGACCGTTAGTGGTCCAATCAAATTGTTTTTAAAATGAAAAAAAACTTAAAAATTCCTATCAATTTACCAAGCTATGCTCATTTCTTTACTCAATAACATATTTTGTTTAAGAAATATGTGAAATTATTCAAGTCCATACGTTAATATTATATAGTTTTAAAATAGTGATTAGATCTTAATAGGACAGTGTACATAATTATAATATTATTATAGACTATGTTAACATTTAATTTCTATATGAACATCCATGACGTTATATTTATTGTACTTAAGTGTTAGATTGATGACACTATATATGACAATAGTTCTAAAATTTGTGCACGCCTTATGCTCAGTCAATTTAATTTTAAGTTGTTTAATGAAACAGTATTTTAGAGATTTATGTAATTGGTCTAATAAATTAAGATTGTAATACATAGGTAAATACTTTTATTTGTATACATATATTTCTTATTAAGTAGTGATTACTATTTTGCAAGCATCAAAATTGAATTTAATGTGATACAAGAAAATAGTTATAAACTTATTTAACTTTTGAATTGTATTGTAGCATTATATATTTAAATTTGATCAATTATGATTTACAAATTTTGACTGTAAAGTATTCAAGACAAACTCTTTTGCTCAATTTTTATTTGAGGAACAATTTAGTCTTAAATCATCATGACAATACATTTTATCAATATTGTTTAATCGTTTATATTTTTGCTCATCAAACGTTGTCAATGGTATATCTTTTTGTTTTGTTTTTTTTTTTTTTTTTATCGAGGGACGAGGATACTATTATTATTATAAGTAAACGTAGATCAAAACATATTTTGCCATGTTACTTCGAAATTTATATTTTCAAAACGTTTTTTGTACTTATCTTTTTTTTTGTAAATACATTTATTTTTAATTATTACGAAATAAAATATATTAATGTAGAGTTAATTAGTTTTATGTACTTAAAAGTATTATGTTTTGTTTTTTATTTATCTATTGTAATTATAAGTTCAAGTTAATTCGTGTTATATTTTAATTTTACCCAAATTTATATCAAATAATTATGTTAAATGTAAATAATATAAAATGTAACGTAAAACATTCCAGTTAACTTTGAATTGTTGCTCTATTTATTAGTAAAACGATATATTTCTTGCCATTTATGTTTAATTTTATTATTTTCAATCAATACAAAATGTATCTATCTTGAGATCTGTTAAGTAGGTAATAATGTAAAGTGGTCTAAACATCTAAAATTGCCAAAATTAGTATCATTTATAGTAACTTTGATCTCATGTTGCTGGTTGTTCAATATAAGACGTTTTTTTTATCAAAATTAATTTTTAAAAGTATTAAAATATTTAGTTAGTATTGAATTAAATTAAGGCTAAACCCAGCACGCATGACATTTTTTTGTGCAATTTTCAAGCTACAAACATTTTCATTATCCAATAAAAATTATTAATAAATGTAGCTCAGACAGAGTGCCATTTTTATTTATTTTTTTATACTGAATGATTATATGACTTTGAAAGACACATATGTTGCCACTTATTACACCCACACAGTTTATTATTGTAATAATCATACTATTTATTTTTATTTTTATTTTTTTTTGTCAATACTGCCAATACTAAATAGTAATTAAATAACATGTTTATTATTGTCTTAACCATATGATTGTCAGCAATATATATATATAATATATATGTTTATATATATATTTACGATATAATTATAATATATTTGTATGTTCAAGTGTTTGTTGCCTTTTATGGTCAATAAAATGGCATTTTTGCAATACTTTTGAAATTATAATTTTAGTTTTGAATTTATGTCAAAATTATTTGTCGTTATGTTAAACATTGTATGTTGATTGCAAAAATTTTAGTTTAAAGTCCAATTATTCTTTGGTATTTTATAAATAATATATATATTTATATAATTCATTTGAATTATTTATTTATCCCGACCCTCATAATGGTACTGTGCTGTTAATTGCAACTACTGTTGGTAATTTTTCCCCGATAAATTAATTTATCTACAATATAATATCTTGACAGTCATAAGAAATAGTTTTTTCTGTAGCTGATTTATATCAATAGAATAATATCCAACAAAATTTGTAAAGAGACATTATGATGAAAAATATTTTATGATAAAAGATTAGACGGAGATGAATAAAATATTTGTTTTAATTTTTGTTTGCCCCTTTTACAAATACTGCTATATTTATTTAATTGCAACAGTATTTTTAAATGACTTGAAACGGTGTTGAGAAATTTTGACTTTTAGCAACCCCTAAGGTCCAACTTCACCAACACAGCTCTAATCACGGTTAAAGTTAACTGGAGTTTTAACCGGCCGAATGTGGTGGTTAACTGTGTTGGTGAAATCGGCCATAAATGTATTTAAATAGGTACAGCGAATTAAATATATAATTAAGTCATTGTATGTTTTCATTTCATTTATAGCACTTATGTTAAATGTGATTTGACCAGACAAGTTTTATTATTTAGAATTTCTAGGGGTAGGGGCCTAACTAGAATGAAAACAGTTTAATAATTATTTGAATACATTTTTTAAAATTATAACTTTTTAGTGAAGTAGGTACTAGGTACTACTACTTACTGCCTGGATCTTATTTTTCATCTTATCCTTTTCTTGTTGCATTGGAAGTTCATTCTATATCTAAATTAAACGATTAAAGTTCATAAAAATATTTCCAAAATTCAACTACCTACTCAATAACGTCTTCCAAATATTAGCATTCTCAACATTGAAAGAGTCTGTACCCCAATTTATTTAATATTGATCGTAATATAATTACAACTTTTGTAAATTAAAAAAGCTACCAAAACTCATCAATTTATAAAATTGTATTAATAAAAAAATTAAATTCACAATATAAAATATGTTAGGTACCCGTGTATATTGTATATTTTAAGTTCAATATGTTTATTAATATTGTGTATTGTGTTAATAGTAACTATGAAAAAAGGTATTACTTATTCGGCTGCTCATATGATATTGATAGATAATTTCTATTTAATTTTATTTAATTATATAATTTTTAATTTAGCAAAGTATGATGGCCAAAGATTTATGCACTTTAACTTTTAAGTAGGCTGTGAAAAAAAAATGTAATTTTGGTATAGGGGTTGCAAATTATTTGGTTGTACCCACTAATAGGCAATGACTAATATTATATAGGTTCAAATTGGCAATTTCCAATCAAGTTGCGGTACTAAAGAAATATATATGTAGGCAGGAGTTAAAGGGGTGGGGGGGATGACTCGGAGGACTCAGTCCCTCTACCTCTGGTTAAAAAGAGTTCCCTATAACAAATTAGGATTAAAACTATTCTGTGTTAAAAGTGAATTGAGTATTAAAATAATAATAATATAGTATACAATATAATTAATAGTATTTACAATTTAAATTGAATGTACATAATACATTTTAAAAGCACACAGTATAAATTCTAAATAAAATATACAATTATTAGTTATTACCCGAAAACATTTGACACCTGCGCACATATAATTCACGACAGTTAACACAATTCTAAGTAATTTAAAAATAATATATATTTAACTATTGTTATTGTTTTCGTTAGTTTTAACTATCCAAACGACGGGATACATTTTTAATTTAATATTTCGTAGCAAAATATTTGAATGAGAATTCCAATAAAATACATATTTTACTACTGTCATTTCAAAATTTATTTAATCCAAAAAAATATTGATATTTAAAAAAATGAACTATTTAACTTGTTTACCATCAAACATTTAATTTACAAGTTGGCTATTTTGAAATTTCCCAAAATAAAATTGTATACAATTGAAAATTAAAATTACACTGTACTTGTAACTTGTAGGCTGTAGCGCAAGAGTCTGTAAAAGATATATATAAAAACAATATTAAATACTGATTAGAACAAAAAAGATTTCATTTGTCATGCCATTCTATTATACACCTTGTATTTGTATATACCATAAATGCCATATGCCCAGCCCATATATACCATAATTGTGTATACCAGCTATATACCTATACCTATACCTATACGCCATGAATTTATACAACAACTATCGATATCTAAGTAATATACACACCACAGAGTACCTACTACTCACAATGTAGAGAACTAGAGAAAATCTTTACATCGTGTATTATACTTAATAGTTGTGTATGTATGTTGCCTATAATACGCCGTGGAACACATGGTACATAATATTATATTATATGATATTGCTATATACATATTTGTTTATAAACGGATAGGTATACCCTTTGGTAAAAAAAATTTAAAGTACAGAAAGTGGAATCTCAATTTGACAAATATTTTACTGAAATTAAATATAGGATAATCATCTAGGATCCAGGAACATCTTAAATGATTTTTTTACTAAAGTATACATACTTTAGTTAAAAAAGTCAAGTAGCATTTTTTAATGATAATATTATAATAATGTTTTACTAATATTATATAATCACGAATAATATTAGAATAAAGTAATAATAATATTTTTAAACAAAAAATTGCTACCTTAATGTGTAATATACTACTATCAATTTTATAATTAAAAGTAACAACCAATAACATTATATACACGAAAAAAGTAATAACCCCCACACCCCCTCAAATTATTTATATTTATTGGAGGTAATTTCGACGAATATATAAGTAACAAATTTGTTTATAGATTTTACTGTAATAATCAATCATAATATATAGCCCACCCCAAAAATTATTTTTATATAAGCCAGTGAATTGACTTATTTTAAAATTTAAAGTTAAGATTACTATCTGGGCAATGTCATAGACTTTATATTATATTTTAATTTTAAAGCGAGTTATGAGTATTTTATGATGACAATTATAATATATAAGTATTTGCTTTGGGGATTTTGGATAAATTCTGGGAACTTTTTTTCCTGGGGATTTTTTTTCCGATTACCGGTTATAGCCTAGGTACTACCTGCAATAATAAAATGTGTTTTCTGGGTGTAAGGCCGTAAGGAGGAATTCGTCTTGTTTCACTCACGCCTTGCATTGCAAGGTAGCGGCGTGTTATTATTAATATGAATTTTAAATCAATGATAAACAATACACCTGAAAATTATTCTGGATTTATTTTAATGTATTCGAACTTTGAATACTGTTTGTAGGACAATTTTTAAATTTGAAGTTACTTTTAACTTGACAGCAATTTATGGAAATTACCAACGTGTATTACGTACCTATATACTTTAATCAGATAATCTGTGATGATAAATTTAAGTCATTATGATTATTATTTATTGTACCCTAAATAATTACAAAATAAATATCCAAATACAATTTTTTAATTAGATTCCTTAAATATTACTACATTTTTAAAAATTGTCAGTAGTTTTTCCTTACACAGTTACCTACATTCAAACAATCTGTGAAAATCAAAAAAAAAACCAATAACAGTACCCACAAAATGAAATATTTAACTGTTTTATATTGCTGCTGCATAAAGGTATGAAACGAAGCCCGACGAAGATGTGAAAATCATACAAAAACTTGTAGGTATTGCAAAGACTTGCACCGAGGTCCGAGTTAATTTTTGTCATGGTTTGGAGACAAGTGATAAAACTAGTTTCTATGAATGCGTCTCGTATTGCAGCCAACAACTTTGATAACTTCACCACGCAATGACTCTTCCAGAGACCATAGAGACCAGAAGACATAAAATGAATCAGGTTAAATTTGACCCACCGTCGATTCTTTTCACTCCATATTGGTCTAATACTAATACTTATGAGAAGTGAGAACTATTCATTTTAACATAGTAGTATAGTGGGCAGTCATTCCTTCCTTAAACTTACAATATTTACTCTCTATAAAACACAAACAAACTTAAAAAATAAAAAAACACCGTCATAATTTTGATTAATTTTAATTTAATTTTTGTACAATAGAATGTCAAATACAATAAACTACCTACCTCGTATTATGTCTGTGACATATAATATGTCTTAGTAATAAATATAATACTATTATTAATTATAACATTTTTTTTTATATAGACTAGTTTACGGACAAAATGATAATGACTTTTCCAAAGCTAAATTATTATCGTTATGCGAAGATTCAATAATTATTTTGGAAGTCTGTAGGCACTTCGCCCAAGAAATTGAGAACATGATAATATAGGTAATATTCAGATTTTAAATCGTTAGTGTTTTATTTTTACCTAAATTTTGTTTAGGTGTACTGTTAGGTACACCAATACGGCAATACAAAATGTGATGTAATATTCAAATGTATTATTGGTACAATATGTGATTGGCAAAATACATAATGAAAGTAATAACCTTAATATTATATTATTATAATATTGTTGTAGTTACATACTTATGTACTTACATAGTTACAGTGGCGTCATTTAGTGGGGTGCAAGCAGTGGCGTAGCCAGGATTATGAAATGGGGGGTGTTTAAGTATAGATTAAAACTAAGTTTTTACAGTTTTCGTATATAAATAAATTTAGGGTTCGGGACTTGACTTGTTGCACTAAATATTATCGAAATATGATGCAGTCAAAGTTATCAAAATATTCTTAAATATATACAGCTACATTTTTATATTATTTTTGAAAAATTCATAAAACATACTACAATTTTGGTAATAAAAAAACTAAAAAATAAGTAGGTATATAAATAATTTATACACGGGCTTACTAATTTTAATATAGGTAGGTACCTATATTGATTAATGTGATGGACGGAGTACACTATTGCATGTTTTGGACATTTTTAAACTATTGTGAAATTAAACAACTTGATTTAAAAAAATACTGGAATAAAATACTAGGTTAATAAATATGTAATAAAGAATAACGTGATATGCGAACACTGTAATAAATGAACACGTATATCTACTGATTTTCATTTCTTCGTACAATCTAGAATGTAGATGTCAATTATATTTCTAACACAGTCTTGTCACAAAGAGACTTATAAAATCTTACATACCGAAAATAGGGCAAACCGTATAGCCAAGCTCCATCAACAACTTTAACAGCCCTCCCAATCATTTACTAAATTTTTTTAATTCAATTTTATAATAGTAGGTATGGTTTTAGGCTTCGGCCTCCTCAAATCTCAAAATTAGAGCCTATTTTACCTCACCAAACATAATATTTTTAAAGATATTTTTCAATGTTATCCAAATATGATTTTTCCCGACAGTTGTATGTACCTACATTTAAGTTAGAAAAATGCAAAATATGCATAAATATGCGAAAAATCGCTCAAATGTACACTTTTCCTAAAATATGCAAATTCAAACTTTGTTTGATTAGACATTTAAAAAATTTCATAAGAGAAATTTATAACTTATCTATAATAATGCGAGGAGTCCCAAACCCTATAAACAATATTTTTATTAGGGAGGAAAATGTCAATGGGGGGTGTTTAAACACCCAAAACCCCCCCTGGCTACGCCACTGGGTGCAAGGTGGGCATTTGTCCCTGTCTGATTTTAAAAGTGGCCCTATGGGCCGGTGCCCAGTTGTTGCCGTTTTACCATTATTATATTTTATTAGCACAAAAACATGCTTATTTTATAATATTTTCAGAAAATATTATACTATGTACTAAGGAATGATTGTCACAACGAGACATTTTTACTAATAATTGACAGTTGGAATATATTTATATTTATACGTATGCTGGGACGTACACTTTGTATGTAGGTATGCATTTATGTATGTTTGTTTGTGTGAGTGTTTAACAATAATAATTATTATTATCGTAATCCCGTATAGTTTTATTTCTAAAATCTAAAATGAATGCAAATTCTAAAAACAACAACCGATTGGCACTCTTGTTAATTATCACTTATCAGTGTCCATTGATCCCAGACTTCAGTTAACTTACGAGTTGCGACAGTCGTGTATGGTAAACTATTCAACTATTCTGCGTATTGTGTTAATTTAGTTGTGTACCTTTCCCACCTAAATTAAAATTAATTTTTTTCGTGATTCGTGTTTACATTATTCTTTCAATTTGAGCAAAATATGAGTTAAAAAAAAAAAAGATGGGTGGTGCGGCTAAAAATATAAAATTACCGCAAACCGCCCAAGAATCGAAAACAATAATTTCTGATAGGTATGTTTAATAAAAAGACGAAACTTGAAACAGTAATAAAAAAATAAATATTATAATTTAAATGGTAGACGAATGGACGGTCCTTGGGTGTTTGGCTTATGTGACGATAGTGAGGCACGATATTTCGTTGTTGAAAAACGGGACAAGCAAACTTGGCATGAAATTATCAAATGAGAGGTTGTATTGGGTTCTATTATACACTCTGATGAGTGGTCAGCGTATAATGGGATCGCTCAACATGGTTATAAGCATAATACAGTCAACCACAGTGAACATTTTGTTGATCCACTTACACAGGCACACACTCGACGGATCGAAAGCTTATGGAGACCATTACGCCTAAAAGTAGTCAAAAATATGTGTGGTACAAGTCCTGACCTCCTTCCAACGTAAAATTATAATAAGTTATGTATAATACGTTTAGCGTAAAGCGTAAT